GAAGACGATTGACAGCTTAGATAGCATCAGACTTGTTTACAGTTTGTAAAATACACTCTTGAAGTCGACCAATTTTTTTTGAAAAATTTCTAAAAACGGGAGACTTTCTGTTTTTCGTTACGAATAAATAAAAACGATATATTTGAAGTAGTTTTCTTCACTAATACATCAAAAACACATGCCCACAAACATCCAAAATGAAAAAATCGCGAAAAAAACTATGCGTTTTGAAAAATTGAATTTTGAAACTGGGGTTATATAGAACCCCGCGCGCCTAACAGTGCGAGAGTAATTTTAAAATCGTGTGTTTAAGGTGAAAAATCAACTTATAAAATTATAAAGGTATTATAGTTATTTAAAGCTAATGAAATATTTTAATATATCTAAAAATTTGATTTAATATTCCGAAAGCTTACCCAAATAAAATATCAATAGTTTTGTTGAAAATTGATGATGATGAAATAATGTTGGAGATATGTATATTCATTTGCTGTACATTTGCTTTAGAGTTATTTCATATATGTAAAACAATTAATTCAAAATTTTAGATCTTTATATTCTTTCTGAGATAGATATTTGAACTACAGAACTATGGTTTATTCCATTTAATATTTAGGTATCTTTTGCTACATAAAAAAAACTAGTAAAAAATTCTTTCTTTTCATAAAAAGATTATAAAATTGTTTTTGTATTTAGATTTTTTTTATGTTTATCATATTTGTTTTTCTTATTCTTGCATAGTGATATCGATAATTGCATGATATCAGACATTTAAATGCTTTCAAACTACTGTTGTCTTATTTAAAAATTAATGTGTTTGACAGTTTTATTTTGTTTGAATTGGAAAGAAATTACCTATATGATTAATGCCATTTATAATTTTAAAGTTTAACATAAACGTTAAAGTGCTGAATAATAGTAAATACATTTGTTTGTTCTGTGTACATTAAGTAGAAAAATTCATTGGAATGTGTTATTTAACTTAATAACTATTTTTCCAATAAATACAGCAGAATCTCAAATTTACTTTCCTGCATGTTGTTTATTGGCAATACACAGGAAAGAATCAAAGTAGCATTTCAATTGCATACATTCCAGAGCGAATATTTTGTCCTTTTATATCGATTATTTTCTGCGATTTTATGCTCGATTTGTTTAAATTTTGTTGTCGTTTTAATTTCGATAGTGTATTTTTGTCATTCTTTCAACTCGTGTATGAAAAGCATTTCTTATGTAAGAAATAGAAAGTTAGTAAATGTAATGAGATTGGACTGATTGCATTACAATTGTAAATTCCATCAACCAGAATTGCCTGGTAATGTCTAAAGTATTAATCTTCCTTATTACAACTATTGTGTGATTAAATTGGCCTGTAGTCAAGTGTTTAATTTTTTTGTTTATTTCTATTTTGTTTTTTCATTTCATGTTTCTCTTAAATGCATTGTTATTGTCTTTACATCATATATTTATACGTTACGTAGGTTTTAATCCTATTAAAATGTCGTAGTGATAAAAAAAAATACTCTTTCAACACTAAATTAGCGTTTAATGTTGGAAGTTTTTTAATCCCCACGAGAACAATTTTCTGTTTGTTGATTCTCATAGAGTAATAACATTTTTGTTTATCTTAGTTTTATATTTTCCTCAGTTTTTTTATAGACTTTTACTTTAAAAAAAAACAATGTAAAAAGTAATTTCGTGCATTATAATAGCTTTTAATACACTTTTTTTAAAAGCTACTCAAAAAAATATATCTATCATCGAATATTTACGAGCTTTAAAATAAGGTTTAATTCTCGATTTAATACATTTATAACCATTTTAGACAGCATGTATTATTATTTATAATATAAAATGAGCAGGAATTTTGTTTCATGATTGTTGTATAACAATTTTAAAATTTTCTTCCTTTTAATTTCATCGTATAAATGCAGTATTTCCGCGTATCATCAGATCTGCGGAAATATTTGCTTGGCAATCGTGAAATCCTATACATAAGGATGTTAAAATGGAGCAGTCTGTCTAAGTTCTGCGCGTCCAATCAGGAAATATTTTGCACTCATTGACTAAAATAAGTAAAAATATCATTTATCTGTTGACCTATCTAACTTTTTAATTAGTCTATCTTCAATTGTTTAATTAATTCTGAGAGGGAACTCCAAAAATCAAAAGGACACTTCCTGAAAGGTTGATAAAACACTTTTTTTCACATTAGTGAATTAAATATTCTTTAAAGTGTCACGCATTTTTTTTAAAATTTTAATTAATTAATTTTTTTTCTATTTTAGATTTAGTTTTGTCATATAAATTTCCTAACTTAATTAATATTTTCTTCTGAAAATCCAAAATGTTGCATATAAAACAGCTGTATAAGTGATATGCAAATATATGATAAGACAGTGAGTAATGGTAAATAGAATTTATTTTTAGATATCGTTAAAAAACAATTGTATGTTAATTATCGAATTTTAATAATTTAATATCTAACAAGACGTTTTATTTATGAAAAAGTCTAAAATGAAAGTATATATAACATTTAAATAGTTACAACGATTAATCATTAAAGCCAAACTAATTGAAAGTCAGTTAAATTAATAGATTAACATATTCATTTATATCTTTTTGATAAATTTAATGATTCAAACTTCATTTAATATGTTTCAAATTTGAATCATTATTTCCTTTCAATAAACATAGTAAATTATTTTTTAATAAAATAAAAAAGTTTAATATTAGTAAGAGAACAAAGCTCTTAAATCAATAATCCACAAAATAATTAATTCATTTTTGGTTTTCTTTATTTAATCGAGAGATTTTCTGTACTTTCAGGACTCAGAAACAGTTCGATACATAATTACAAGTAATGTACTGTATTTATAACACGCTAATTATATTATTATTATGTTTATTAATTATTTATAAAACAAATATCGGTTACAGTTTCGTTATGATCTAATTTAAATATTTAAAAAATTAGTTTTTTTTTATTTCTAAGTTAAATTCCAGTAAGTTAAAAATAGTTTTGCGGCAAATTATATAAGATTAAGGATGATCTATAAACCTTTCTCTATGTTGATTCTTCCGTAAATAAAGGTTTTATATGTGAAGGATTATTGATTTATAAATGGAATCGTGTTTCCTTGTGTAAGAACTTTGAATTAAGAATTTAACAGTTTTAAAATTGAAATTATTATAGGAAAATTTTATAATTGAATCGTCATGGAAACAAAGTTTCTGATATAGATTCTGTTGTGATATATTCTTCTGTTAACTATTTTATTTCAATATATGATGAACATATTTATCTAATCTTATTTAATATTGTTTAGTGCAGTACATATTTATTATGTCTCGACATCTAGACGCAACAAGAGCATCGAGAGTATTAATTTCAATACAGTATTTATTTGAAATTATTTTCAATGCGAGGTAATCTGTTAATTTTATAAATATATTAATAGTAATGTCGTAAAAAGAAGAGATCACTGCTCCCATTTATAACAAAACGCAGTAACCACCCATTAAAAATACACACAACAAAAACATAAGATTAAAACTAAAAGTTATACAGTATAATACTTTTATAATTAGTAAAAATTAAATCTGGATTGGAAATCTTAGTGACTCAATAACAGAAGGATCGTCTAGAGCGGGGCTTCCCAACCTTTCTCATGTATCGACCCCTTTTAAGAAACTTATATGTAAATAAATATTATATATGCATATACTGTACAATATATATTTAATTTGCTTATCGACCCCGTTGGGAAGCCCTGCTCTAGAATCTAGATATATTTATCTATATAAAAAATCCGTTAAAAAATGCTAGATGTTAAATTTTCTCAAGAATGTCTTGAATATTCTTGTGAATTTTCACAGCTCTACACAATATATTTTCAATTATTTGAATGTTTAAGTTAAATACACTCGTTAAGCTGTTTGCGATAAAAAATTTAAATTTTTTTAAAATATTATACTTGTATACAGTCTCCTTAAAATACACTAGTAACGACATTTTTCTGTTTAAACATGTATAGAAAATTAAAATGAAAATAAAATGTTTTAATTTTCCGTTTTCTTTTCTACTTATAAGAAAGCGTTAGAAATTTAATTGAGGACGTTTTTTTTTTTCATATTTCAGGCGACATTACCTGTGGTGATTTATAATAGCAAAATGCACCCAGTGAGAGAGAACAGTCACAAAAGCTGAAACAGGAAATTAAATATTTGTACAGTATCGTGTGCTGTATACACAAATATTTATGTACAGTACACGATTTTGACAGTAAAATTTAGTTTTTAGTTCAGGTGTCATCGTCATAAAATGATTCATTAGACAAATATGCAAACATTCATGATGATTTAATTTTTGAGAAAAGTTTCAGAATCACATGATATGTCAACTTTTTGACATTTATGATTCGTTACTGTTATGTTAATGATTCATAAAAATTGTGATTTTGTTAAATACCTTAGATTTTAAGATATGATTATATACTGTAAATTACACTATACACTGTAAATTACAAACGCTCGTTAAATCAGATATATTATTTGTGGAAAATAAATAAACCGTTTTCAATTAAATTCTTGTTCAGTTCTATTTAATGTAGAAACTAAAATTATTTAAAAATTTGAGTGAAAATATGTCTCAGGGTTTAAGAAATTTCAAGAAATCGTTTAACTTAGACAGTTGAAACAAAAGTTATCGTAAAAATATCTTTAATTTATGTATATATAGTCTCTATATATATACGTTAATATATGACACAATTTCTTTTGTCATCTGATAAAAATTTCATATTATTATTTTTTCATTTTGTTTATTATTTTGCCTTGATCATAATTTTATGATCAAGGCAAAATAAAGCTGAATCATTTTTAAAGAAATAGAATTTCTTCTTTAAGTTGAATCATAAAATTCTTCTTCTTAATTCATCTCTTTAAAGTTTCAAAATTTCTACAAAATTTAGCTTTTTTAAACAAATATTTCATTTCAGGTTCGAGACGAATATAGAACAGATTACGATGATGGACGTGGAGGTTATGGAAAATTGCAGCAACATCGAATGGTTTCGTCGTGGAATTCCGAACCATTTTGATTTCGGATTGTATACTAAATTAATACTTTTAAAAGTTTTTATCCGTTTTTAATGTACACACAAAAAAAATCTATCATATATTTTGAAAACGTTTTATTTTATGTATTTAAGATTCATCCGTGTAAATATAATGTTTTTAATGGTTTTAATCCGAGCAAGAATCTCGTTACTTAACGTATGTAAGCGCCCAGATTACAATAGCATACAAGACGTTATACATGGGTGCTTTAATTATAGAAGAGTTACTGTTGAAGAGACTCGCTTCAGACTCAGGAACATCCTCTGCAATTTCACAACCAGCAATTAAAGAAATTGGTGCACACAATGCAACAGTTTTTTTAAAATCCATAACTCTCTCGCCATTTGAAATCACTAGTTTTGAGATGGAAAGGATTTTACTGTAAATTTGTTTACTATCTCAATCAGTTGTGATCATTACATAAATTGTATATTGTGCTGTAAAATTTTAGATAATGTCATGTTTTAGAAAGTTTATTGTTAAACTTTTTGTAAATTTATCGCCAAAGTTGTATGTTAATATATCAACTTATTTCTAATCATTTTAATTGTATTATAATCATCTCAAAATGTCGTTTGAGTGTTTTATTTTAGTTTTAAGTTCGAATGATAAAATAAAAATGTTAACTAATTTATTTTATGTTTTAAGGAATGAAAACTTATCGAGACGAATATTCTAATAAATTAATTTGTGCCTTTTGATTTTCTTTCTAGCATTTTTTTTTTTAATTTAGGGTAGAATTTTAATCCAATTCTTCATCCACGTTCCAAAATTTATAAAATTATTCGCATAAAAATGAGAATTTATTATTGTTTATATCAGTAAATCGATAAAATGATTTTTAATACATGAAGTAATTTCACATGTCAGCAACAGATGGCATTTCTTGCTTAAGTAATGCTATGACATTGAAACAATTATATTACAAATCATTCGTAAACCGTGCGACGAAAATTCATTCATATTATACATTCAAAATTACATGCATTAACTTAACATAATAGTAAATTTGAAGATAAAATTTTCTTATCTTTGTTTTTTTTATTAATATTAAAGCTAAACGGGGTGTGAAAGGCTATCATTAAGGAAATACTTCCGCATCAGTCGAACCTTAACAAATGGAGTGTGGCGAGATCTGAAAATCTGTTATCCTTAATGATACCAAACTATTATAAAATTTCTACCCGAAATAAAAGCAAAATTTAAGTATTCAATTTATTATATATCGTATTTTTAAATCTCGAAATGCATTCTACGCCGATCGAATTCTTAATCTTATCAACATCTCTAATTGGATGAGAGATAAAAGATAACTTTGAAATATTTCTTAAGTGGATTAAAAAAAAACTCTTTACTTGCAAAAAAATGTAATATTCTTGGGAAAATATGCATACGTATATAATTAGAGAAATAATATAATTTATATAAATACATACGACCCAATTGGTTAGAGGAAAACATTAATTAAAATTCCTGAAATATAGATCATTATATTTAAAAGAACCACAAATTTGATTAAGGGAATATTTTTATTTTAATGTTTAAAGAAAGTAATGAAATTTTAATGGAATTTTACATCACGAATTTCATTTGACAAAAGAGGAAATTGACCTAAAAACATAATTGGAGTTTAATATACTTTAAGTAATCAAATATCCGTAAATATACAGTACATACGCGTCATATTTACTAAGATTATTTTTAACAAAGTATTGCTGAGCCTTTATTTATTTTATTAACTTAACATGTCTGTAATGTTTTTTTATTCATCACATCCGTGTGCTTTACAGAGAAAAATATCCTAAATTTTTTTTCTTTCTCGGAAGAAAAACAATTAAATAAAAGTAACAGGAAATTTCGGAATCATTATTGTAAATTAATTTATACTTCTTCCTTAATTTATTTTTGCACTATTATTGTAAATGATATAAAAAAAGTGAACAATATAAGAGTGTCAAGGTAGTATAGTAACAGCAGTTAAAAGAGGACGAATGACGTGACCTGATAAATTTTATAACCGAGCACTTTAAAGACTAAGCTTATGATATAATGTGTTTTCTGGACTCTGTCCATCCTAATTTGGTCTTTCTTTTGAGGTCAATGAAGCGGGTCAAGAGGTTAAAGCACTAGTTATGTCAAGGCTAGTGCAAAATCGTGGTTATCCGAATTATTATTACAATCATAATGAGCTATTTATAAATATTATTATTGTTGTTGTTATACCATTTTATAAATTTTTGAAACCGTAATCAGTTTATATTATCTGTTGTATAACAAAATCCTACCTTATAATTTATTATGTGTAAAGTTTTAATTTATATTCTTCGTCGTATAAGATGGAAGGATTATAAAACGGTTTCCATGTTATTTTTTAACAATTTAAAAATAATGTTTAAGATTGATACTAGTGCTAATTGAAGATTCTATAAAAGGAACTTGGATTTAAAAATTGTCATTTTAAATTTTAATCTATACGCCCCGAAATACTAATTGCCAATTTCATTGTTGAATATATCCCTTTATTCAAACTGTGCCTTAATCCTTTGTCTTGAAAACAAATGCATTATTTAATTGCCAAAATATCTTGTATACTGAAGAATATCTCACCTCTCATATACTAAGGAATATCTCATTTCTTCACTCTATATCAAAGGCAATTTAATTGCCTTTCATATAGGAATATCAAAAGCAATTAAATTGCCTTTGATATTCCTCAGTGTAGAAATTATGGAGGCAGAGTGATACTCTGAACGCAGTAACCTATAGTCGAGCGATAATATCTGGCATAAGGCATCATATATTATTTCGGATCATTTAAAATAATCCTTCAACACAATAAAACTCACTGCGCAGCACCGGCTGTACTTACCCCCGAAATTGTGACACACACCAATTACTTAAGATAGTAAAGTATCGTGTGCATAAGAACATATTAGAAAGATATATTGCTTATTAAAGAAACTTTGTACCCTTTTTAGAAATAAAACAAGATAACTCCTAAAAATTAAACACAATTTGTGTTTAAATTAGAAAAAAAACTGTGAATAGAAGAAAATAAAAAAATATTTCTTTTATGAAGATTAAAGTATACAAAATACTATTAATTTTAAATATAAAATGCACTTTACGCGTTACACTTAAATGACTTTTTTTCATTTCTACGCTCCAGTGACGCTTAATTACAAATTTTAAAAAAATTTATAATTAATATCTACATATTCCAATAAACATATTTAAATATTATAAATTCCATTCAAGGATTTTTGTTTAATATTTAGGCCAATTTCTGTATGTTCTATTGCCCGAGGTGAAGATATGCCACAATGAATTCAATTCGAAATATCTTAATTAAACATCTGTTTAATTTTTAATAAAATATTTATTATTTAATAACAATTCAGTATTATAAATTATTTTACTATTTTAAAAAAATGTGTAATTTACTTTACGATTTTTAAAGATATTAAATTTTTTCGTAACTGATACTTGTTTTCTTCCTTATTCATATCACACACGCTACTATACAAGGAAAATAATATAAAGTGAAATTTTGCAGAATATTTTCTCAATTCTATTCATTATTAATAATATTGCGCTCTATTACACTCCAAAAAGTAAGATTTTTCTATGCTAGATGGACGATATACGATGACATAGAAAGATAAATAGCATAATAGGATTCGAATCTATGCCTATATGACATTTAATGAGGCGTATAGAAATATGTCCCCGTGAACAGAACGGATAATTGTATTTTTAAATTACTAATTACGTTTCAAAATAATCCTTATGTCCCTTTTAAAGTCTTTAGGTCCGGTTCCAATGTTGGGCCTATTATATTATTATAGTAAAGTGTTATTAATTTTTTTTTTCCTAGTAAGCCTACCAGTCTAGTTTATTAATATGTTGATTCCTAGATAATATCTGCATGGAGTTTTCGAGCATGGGAATTTCCCACAACTCTTTTTTATTACATATCTTAACTGAGGTTGTCTAGAAGAAAATAAGTAAAGAAATTAGGAATTTTAAAGGTATTTTCGTAAAATAATTTTTGTTAGATAATACAACAGCATGGGAGGATTTAATTTAATGAAGAATATAAAAAGAATGAAGAGTGTGTCGTGCAGCAGTGCATCGTCCTTTGAAAATTTTCAATTCTCTGTTATCTATGCACACGACAGGAGAATCTCTAAACTATTTACGGCACACCACATGTCATTGATCTTTCTGGTTTGTTTTGTGGTTGTATAACTGGTCCTCGTCTACGAGAGGTCAGTTTTGCTGTTTTGATAAACGTAACGAGATAACGTGATTGGCAATAATTAGTTTAGATAGGCTATTTTAATAATAACTGTACAGTACTTCACACGGGCTGTCCACGTGAAGTACAGTACATGGGCATTACATTACATAATATATCCATGATAATAACACTGACTGTACCTGTACTTTCGTATTCCAATCAAAATTGGCATATGATGTAAATAAAGCTCCGATTGTGATAACAAATACATTCGATTTCAAACTAAACCTATCAAAATAATATAGAATTAAATATATTTCTTTATAAGGAATCGAGTAAATGATATTGGCTATTAAAAATGACTAATATTGCACAATGAAACATTGTTATGTCATTATGCGGGTTAGATTTTCATAAGAAAAAGTTTTTTTTTTTTAAATCTTGGTACCAATTTCTACATCCCTAAGGCCGATTCTTCTTCCATTAAAGAACATATTGAGGATAAAACACTTCCCAGTTGACGATTCTCCTAAAATGGATAAGAAGGAGTCGGACAAGTCGATTTTTTGTAGTAAGCAAGTGTGACCTGTTATTACCGATGCCTGAGGTCAGAAAGAGACCTAATCCGCTAGGCCGACAAGAGTTAGCTACTGTACAAGTTTCACGATCGGGAAGTGATGAGTACGACCTAATGCCGTTGGGAACTATATTTCGATGTTCATAACTTCCTTTTTTTGTAGTCTGTCGCCTTTCAACTGTCTGACCGACATAAATGGCAGTGACCCGCGCATCAAATGTTACTTGCATTAGTTTACACCAATCTTAATACCTGCCTGTATCCCGTCAAGAGTTAGTCTATCCAACTTTGCTTCCATGTTATCCCCCCTTCATTTTTCATTAGTCTGAGCTGGCTTTATCTGTAATCTATAGTCGTAACTAATTTACTTTTTTACGATCTGTTATCTTTATCTTATCTTCACCTTCTCGAGTTGCCAATACGCTTTTTATCGTGTAAGAAAAGAAAAAAATAACAATATAAAATATTTAAAAAATCATTTTGGGGACAGAAACTGTGACTTATCCGCCATCTTTGCATATCTAATGACTTTATAGCCTATATTTTTTCACCAAATAAATTATTTAGTATTCAAAAAATTTTTTGAGGACAATAAAAATCAAAAGAGGCCAATTCTTCAGACGATTGCATCTGAATTGCTCGGGGCCACGGTCAGTTTAAGGACATAGAAAATCTATTGTGTATTTCGGTAATCGGCCTACTTTCTACAATTCGGTATCTGTAGACGACGACTCCAATTTTTGATGATTCATCTTCTTTCTGCCTCATCAATATATCTAATTTAGGCATTAAATTATCATCAACAGCTTTAATGTGTTTAAAAATATTGCTATAAAACCGGTTAATAAATGATTATGTTCAATTTTC